ATAAACTATTCCTTGGAACTTTACAAGATTATCACAGAATCATTCAGGTTGGAAAAGACCTGTAAGATGGTCAAGCCCAACATCAACCCTGAATCACCACTAAACCACRTCCTCAAGTGTCACATCCACACATTTTTGGAACTTCAACAGTTTGCTTAAAATTTTTAATTTTGTAATTTGAATTAATTGTAGTTGTCAAGTCCAGCATCAACCCAGCATCACCACTAAAYCAYRTCCTCAAGTGTCACATCCACACATTTTTGGAGTTCTTTGGAGTTTTGGTGACTCCACCACTGCCCTGGCCAATCTGTTCCAGGGCTGGACAATTTTTACCTAAAAATTTTACCTAAAAATTTTTCCTAAACCAACCCACAGCCCCCCCCAGTCACAAGGGGCTGTTCAGCTCCTTCCCCATCACATCCAAGGCTTGGGGAAGGATAACCTGGTTATGGTGAAGCTGCCAGGTGCCCCCTTTGCCATCAGGGGATGGAAAATACAAGTTTTGGAAAGTGAGAGTTGGTTTGGGTACGTACTGAAGGATTTCAGCTCCACCAGCAGAACGCTCTGCCTGTCCAGCTGCAGCACAGAGGCACCAATAATCAGGTTAAACCCCTCCAGAAACCCCAAAATCATCAGATTTGTGACTCTGAGCACACTGAGATAATCAAAACGGGCACAGATCCTGCCAGCTCACACGCTTKGGTGAGAAACACAACACGGGGGAGGTGTCAAAGGTGCACAAAGGAGACGAGGCCCCCAGGCAGAAGAACACTGAGGTTTTACCTTGCCCAGCTCGGCTCTGACGGGAGTCTACACTTGCCTGTCTTCGGTCTGGTGGCTCCTCGTTCCCTCCATCTGCATGAGAACCAAAACAGCACAAGTAGAACATCACAGTGGACATGTCAGGCAGGTGCAACTTTTCCTTGAGTCCCATCACCTATTTCAGAGGAGCAGCAGGACAAAAAGTCSCTGTGGCAGATAAAAATTGGGACAGGAACTGCTGCCTGGCTCTGCTGCCCTTTGCACTTTTTCCCCAGCTCACTGCMACAAAATCCAGTAGGTCCTCAAGACAGAAGGAAGGTTTTGTTTTCTCCTATCGATCCCACAGGAATCTGAGTGAAATCAAAACCAAATTGTGCATCTTCAGTGAGTTCCTGCACTTTGGACTGTTATATCAAAATAAGCATTTGGAATAAAGAGATCCAGGAGAAAAAAAAAGAAAAAAATATTTGAAGTGTGAAATTTGAAATTGTGACTCTATAATTATTTGTCCACTAAAAAGCAGGAAGGCTGGGAAGAACAAAACCTCTTATTACATCCTCTTGAAACTGTTCAGGAAAGCAGCTMCAGTTAACAAATCCCAAATCCATCTGGATAAATGCAGAGTGGGACATGGTGTACRATATTATCCAATTAATTACAGGCTGCTCTGCATTGATCAACTGACCAGATTAGAAACAATAGATACACCCATCAATACAGATGCTCGAGTACATGGAGTTTCTGGCAGCTGAGAGGAAAAAGAAAACCCAGCTCTGCAGATTGGGAAAAAGCAAAACCAGGATTGTCAAACGCAGGATGTATTTCAGCAGCTCTTACCCCTTATGGCAGGGGAAGGGGAAGCTTTTAAAATCTTTAAAAATAGTTTTGAAATAACTSAATTCTTCAATATCCGTTTAAAAGCTCAATAGTTGGTTTAGCATTGATGTGTTTTGATGATACCAAAAGCAACTCCATTCTACTATTTTTGTATCTCTGGACAGCTCTGTACAAGTATTTTTTGGAAGTGCCTGGGTTAAATGAAGCAATTTCACTTTATCAACTCCTGCTACACGTGAGCTATGAAGTGGAGCCATGAGAGCACAAGAGCAGAACTAAAACGGGGACTAAAAATTTCAGTCTATCCCCACCCCAAAAAAACAAGAGAGGTTTTTTGTTCCCTCCTCCCTCGGTGAAACGCTCCCAGTCCTCAGTTTCCCCTCGAACAGGTGCCAGCCAGGCCATTTCTGTCACCTTTGCATCCTTCCCTGCTGCACGTGAAGGTCACCCCACACAGCAGTCCCGATTTTAAATCAGATGCACCCACCCCATAAACCTCGAGCTGCCAGTGCCAGGGAGGCCACAGAACCAGACATTTCCCCTGCTCCCTCTTCCACCCTGGCCGCCAGAATGATTTCACACTGCAAACACAACTGAAACTGGGATGGATCTCTAGGAGCTGTTATGAGCCTGGAGCTGCCCTCTTGATATCAGCTGCTCGAGCCAACAGCAAAAACACAGCCCTGACTCTGAATTTTTTCATTTCTAACACCCAGCGTTGGTTTGGGCATTGGTGTGCACATGGATATCATTATCATCATCATCATCACCATAATCATCATCACCATCATCAGATCCATCATCAACATCATCATCATCACCACCACCATCATCATCACCATCATCAGATCCATCATCAACATCATCATCATCATCACCACCATCATCATCACCATCATCAGATCCATCATCAACATCATCATCATCATCACCACCACCATCATCATCATCACCACCATCATCACCACCATCACCATCACCACCATAATCATCATCATCATCATCACCACCCCATCATCACCACCATCATCATATCATCATCATCACCATCATTATCATCACCATCATCATCCTCACCACCATCACCACCATCATCCTCACCATCATCATAATCACCACCATCATCATCACCACCATCATCACCATCACCACCATCATCACCACCATCATCATCATCACCACCATCATCATCATATCATCATCATCATCCTCCCCATCACCATTATCACCATCACCATCATCCCAAAGGGCCCCTGGCTATGAGCCACCACAGCCAATCTCAAAGTCATGAAGAAAACAAAACCCCTTTGAGCTCCAAACATGAAACCAAACACAAAATAATTGTAAGAACTGAGCATTTCAAAGGACGAGAAAGTCCCAGTATTAAAACCAGGAATGAACCCCTGTATTTATCCAAAGACAACTTCCACCCCTGAAAGTTTCACCATCCTTGGAGGCRTTCAGCACCAAGTTAGGTGGGGCTTAATGGGTGGAACTGGGTTGGTTTTAAAGGCCCTTCCAACCCACCACACACCCTGAGATCTCTGATGATTCAATCTTTTTGCTCACTTGGACAGAAAACACCTCTGCTGTGCAGTTACCCAGGAGTATCAAAGCTTGGGACAGCAAATCTGGGGTCCTGCTGCCCAAAATTCAGTGGTGGGACACAAAACGGTGACAAGAGGCTGCCAAAACCATCGGGATGGAGAAAACAAACAGCTACACAAGAGTCTGGGATGGATCTCCCTGCAAGTCACATGAGATACTGASGGGGAAAGAAAGCTCACAGTAAATTAAACCTCAAAACGCATTTAGAGGGTGGGAAAGGAAAAAAATAAATCAGATGCCTCAGCAGACATTAAATCTTCAGTCAGCACACAAATGCTGAATCCTGAAACCAAGGATGGAGAGGAACAGCCACAGTTAAGAGCTGAACAACAGATCTATTTCATTCTATTTCATTCTTTTTCATTCTTTTTCTCTTCACTACAAATCAAAATGCTCCTGGCAGTGGAGGGGAAAAGTGTGCAAGGAACACCACCACACCCAACTACAGAGTTACCCCACTGCACACACAAAAAGGGGAAGTCACAGTTTCTAACAGAAATAATAATTTTCACTTTTTTTGAACTCCCATCCTTTGCATTCACATCCACCTCTGTGTGCGCATCAGGGCTCTGTCATCACAAAAACTCTCCTGTTTATTTCATTTATACACCATTTCAGGGAGTTATTTTAATTTGTTTTAGTAATAATTACTGTTTACAGACATGACCTACTATTCAAACAGCAGTTTGGGGACAGGATCACTCCTGAACTTCAATCAACTCAGTTGCTGTAATGACTGCCAGCRTTCTGAAACACCATTTATTGATAAATCCTTCAATGCAACAGCTAAAAGAGGTCACCAGAAGCGAACTGGTGGTGAAATCATTGCTAGAGAACACAGCTATCCGTTAATTTAAAATAAAGATCAGCACAGACTGAGATGAAACTGTTTGAGGAGCTTCCACAGAAGTTGTCAGGCAAAASAGAAAACAGTCAAATGCCACAAGGGAAGTGGATAAAACAGTAAATATTGAATCAGTAATTCATAGCCTCTTGCATCTCATCATGAGAGGGAGGAAAACTTTTGTGCATTTTTTTAAATCTCAGTGTTAAGAGAATCCTTAAGCTCATACACATTATTTTAGTTTCTGGAAGCTGCTGTCTCATCAGTGTCCAGCATCCACACCTCTGCAATCCTGAACACTGGTCAGAAACCCCACAAAGCTTCTGAGTGACTGATTCCGTGGCAAGAACAGAGCCAACAGTCACGGCTATTCACTCCTTCTCTCAGTCAAAAAGAGATTAAGGGATCTTAAAAATTGTGATTAGTCACAGCTTCAGCAGAGCAGCCTCTCCTGTCTGAGAAACACCCATTTCCTCCTCTCCCCCTGCCCTATCCCACCAGATCTCCACTAAAACCACACAAGAAATCCTCCGCAACACACACAGCWGGATTCTTTGAGGAAAAAGGGAAAGAAAATCCCGAGGTTTCAGCATTTCTAAACAAATCCCTGCTCAGAGCACTGCATTTGGGAGAGATGGCAGCAAACAGAGTTAGAGGAATCTGCACCAGCACATCTGATGTCAGCAAATCCCACAGCACCTCTGGCATCACCTCCTGCCAGGTGTTCTCGTAAATATATAAATTATATAAAATAATACATAAATTATATAAAATAACATATAAATTCTATAAAATAATATATAAATTCTATAAAATAATATATAAATTATATGAAATAATATATAAATTATATAAAATAATATGTAAATTACATTAAAAATATATAAATTATATAAAATCAAGCGCCATCTGCCCGATATTCCCGGTTCCCTATTTCATTTAAAAGGTTTAAAGCCTGCACCATGACGAAACGTCTCCCAAGAATCTTTGACCTGACAAAGCAATTTTTAAAGCAGAAGAATCTCAGGGTGGGTGAGGCTGCTCCACGCATGCTGGGAAGGAAATCTGCAGCAGGAACCGACCGTGGCGGATTTACCGCTGCTCTCACGGTAATGGGCAGAGCACTCTCTGCTGTGAGAGATGAAAAATTGATATTTAAATCCAAATCGTATCAAAATCACATCTGAAAAAGGTGGGAGACTCACACAAAGAATGTCAAGCTGTTAGGGATGGATCCAGTTTCAGCCCAGCCCAGCATCCGTGCAGGAGGCAGAGATGTCGCTCCAGCTGATGCTGTGGTCCCACAACGCAGGCAGAAGGGGAAAAAAACTCCAAAATGCAGGCACAAGGGGAAAAAAAACCCCAAACACAGGCAGAAGGGAAAAAAAATCCCAAAATGCAGGCACAGGGGGAAAAAAATCCCGAAAGCAGGGGGAAAAAAGCCCAAAACGCAGGCACAAGGGGGAAAAAAAAACCCAAAACACAAGTACAAGGGGAAAAAAATCCTGAAACGCAGGCACAAGGGGAAAAAAACCTCCCCAAAACGCAGGTACAAGGGGAAAAAAAACCCAAAACGCAGGAACAAGGGGAAAAACGCCCCAAAACGCAAGTATAAGGGGAAAAAAATCCCCAAAACACAGGTACACGGGGAAATAAACTCCCCAAAATGCAGGCACAAGGGGGAAAAACCCTAAACACAGGTACAAGGGGAAAAAATCCTGAAATGCAGGCACAAGGGGAAATAAACTCCCCAAAATGCAGGCACAAGGGGAAAAAAAAACCAAAACGCAGGCAGAAGGGGAAA